ATGTATAATATATTACATTTCTGACTGTATATCCCTGAAATTATTACACACTGTAGCTTTAAGGTTGTTTTTTCTTTCTTAACATAGATGGCTTCCTTCACAGCCCTCTCAAACCACCTGTCTTCTTTGTCCAATGGAAACACTCTGGTTGGGTCTGGGTTGGTGTTTCTGTTCCTGGCAAACTTAAACCCTAGAGTGGAAAACAGCTGCACTGTTCTGGCTTTGGACTGCCAGGGTTTCCTCTTTTAAAGCAAAATCAAACTTTTTGTTGTAACCCTGTGAGAAAATGTGTTTCTCATAATTTTACAGAAAAAGAACATTCCAATGTTTAAATCTCCTTCAAACAGGTTGTCATGTTGAGGTGCTGGAGGTTAATTTCACAGTGAATTAACCTTCAGATTAATATAATAACATTGTATAAACTATAACAGTAACCTTCAAGGTAAAATCACATGCCCAGTCACATCTGTCAATAATGTGTCATTATTATTGAATAATAAAATCAAATAAAAAAGTAAACAGCAGTGAAATCTGATCCTGATGGAGATATTTATTCCCCTTGGATGAGAAGAACAGTTTGAAAACTGATGGAAGCCTGGAGGGATGGCATAGAGTGATGATGTAATTAACACATTAGTAATATGTGAATATAGGTACCTTTAAATCTGATGCTTCCTGACATTCCTTCAGCAGCTCCATGGCCCGGCTCTGCCTTTTCCTGATGGTCTCCATCGATTCTTTCTGAGCATCGGTGATCTTACTGATCTGATCCCTCAGAAGTGAATGTTTTTCCTTGATATATCTGAGGTTTTCCAGCATCCCCATCACATTGTTCTGCAAGCACACTGTCTTTCATTAGCCACAGTTTAATTGTTAGAAGCTTTTTTTTTTTGTTATATCAAATAAATGTATTCTCACCTCAGAGGAGCACCCTTCCTTTGCTGCATGGTTGATTAAATCCAGCTTCAGTCGCTTTGCAATGTAATCCAGATCAGCCTCTGACTTCAAAACCTAAAATTTACAAAATAAAAAACATTTTCTCTCTCTTAAAAAGAAAAACAAATGAAAAAGTTTGCCCCCCCTATTAATCTTAATGAGTTTTATTTGTAAATATTTGGGTGTTTCTAACTGACTAACTGATGGACACAGTACTATTTCAGTAGTTAATTTGTTTATTGGACTAACAGAAAATGTGCAATATGGATTAAAACAAAATTTGACAGGTGCAAAAATATTGGCACCTCAGCAAAAAAGAGACATCAATATATAGTAGATCCTCCTTTAGCAAAACCAACAGCCTCTAGTCGCTTCCTGTAACTTAGAATGAGTTCCTGGATGAGGGGATTTCTGACAATTCTTCTTTGCAAAACAATTCCAGTTCAGTTAAGCTTGATGGTCCCCAAGCATGGACAGCCTGCTTCACATCATCCCACAGATGTTCAATGATAGCCAGGTCTGGGGATTGGGATGGCCGTTCCAGAACATTGGAATTGTTCCTCTGCATGAATGCCTGAGTAGATTTGGAGCGGTGTTTTGGATCATTGTATCCCTGAAATATCCAACCCCGGCATAACTTCAACTTCCTAACTGATTCTTGAACATTAATCTGCTGATATTGAGTGGAATCCATGCGACCCTCAACTTTAGCAAGATTCCCGATGCCAGTAAAAACACTTGCTATCCACTGTAAAACCTGGTGGAGGTTCCATCATGCTTTGGGGCTGCGCTGCCAATGCTGACATCGGGAACCGAAGTAGCATCAAACTGAAACAGCTGCTGCAAACACCCAAATATTTAAATAAAAATATAAATAAAAATAATGAAGATTAATAGGGGAGCCCAAACTTTTTCATATAATGGTACCAGCTAAAGGGAGTTACTCAGAGGAGCTCCAGTTTTATAAATACAGGTTTATATTATCATTTTAATTTCTATTTATTTCGATTCTTTACTAGCTTCCAGGCATCATATTTATGTTTTTTTTTTTTATTATTTGAGATATGAGAATACAATGATAAGAACTAAATGCTGAAATTAAAAGATTGAGTAAAACAATCTTTATTGTTTTACTAAACAATAAAGGCGGTGGGGGCTCTTGGTAAGACAGAATGCCCAAAGGGGAAGACAACTAAAAGAAGGTTGGGAAACGCTGGTCTAAATAACAACAAAATGCCTTCTTTAGTCTTTCACTGAAGCCCCAATACTAAAACAACAAGCAGAACACAAAGTTATTACACATTTCTCCCCCTACAGATGTATTTCAAAATTTGACTTTAAATTTTGATGAATGTGGGTAGAAGGAGAACTTAAAGTGGTTCAGTTTGGTTTTTGTTATCCTGAAACTTCTGTCAAAAGACAAGAGCTCACATTCCTCAGGCTCCTGTCACACCTCGCCACTTTATCCATGCAGCAATGCACACGGAGCACCTGGCCTGCATAAAAATATGTCTTTGATTGAAGTATTAACCTAGCTGCTGTTTATCGCCTGCCAAAAAAAATGAAGAAGGTTTTCATTGGTAGCAGATTCAGCATCTGGAGCGGCGTTCCTCTGCTAGGAAGTCTGTTGGTGGTGGGCGTAAACGCAAGGACGCTGGCTCACCCTATGATGGGGATGAAGTCTGGAGGAGAACTGACGGTTTCCTCCTGTGAACCCCCTTTATACCAAAACGGTGCCAATACGCCATTATACAGTAGCTGGAAGTTAGAAAGACGTTCAGCGCTCGTCTGGAACACGTCAGATACGTTGATATGTGTTGGAGAGAAGTTCTGGATAAGTTACGCAAAAGTTACTCAGAGGTTTAGGATCAGCTAGACGCCACGACTGATTAGGAACTGAGACTGAACGGATGTCAACCATCAGATAACTGACCTGGAACTGATGGCCAGCGTGTTTCAGTATGCTCATAACTTATCCAACATGTGCCAGTGTTTCTGCCAGATTTTTTTTTTTTTTCCTTTTCATATCAAGCATCCGCTGGTCTAAATCGTCAAGGTGTGACAGGGGCTTCAGGAAGGATGAGGAACGGGTTTAGCAGTACTCGCCACGCCTGCTGGAGAACAGGCTGCTCATAGATGGATGAAGGGAGAGCCGTTCATCCTGACATTACAGGTTGCATTTGTTGAAAAAAGAATAAAAGCACTTAATAATAATAAAAGGATTAACATCCATCTGGGTCATTTTCTTTTAGAGCAGATGAGGCTGTAATGAGTTAAAAGCTGAATGAGAGAAAACACCCCGGAGCCAAGTCACAGTATGAAAAATTAAAAAACCAGGAGCAACAAAGCTTCCAGAGGAACATCTAGGAGTCAAATTTGTCCGTTTTTCTGTCGTTCTTTATGTTTTCTCATTCCGTTGTGAAGAGCATGTTTTAAACAGGGAGATTTTAGTATTCCCTGCTTCACTGTCCGGTCAGCAAGGAATAATCAATGGATCATTATTTATACCTAAATCTAATACATTTGCGGTGATTTAATGCACGTTGTGACAAACACCAGATACAGCACTGGGACTTGATCAACAGCCGATACCGCACCGTGACGTCACAAACCAGTAGGTGGCAGTAGTGTTCTTTGACAAACATGGATGCCTCCAGTAAAGCACATTCACATGAAGTTATCTTTAATTAAGAACACTGATCATTTATTGAACAGTATATAATAATTTCATATTTAAAGGACTTTCAGAAGTTTGAATTCTGGATATGACCGGATTTTGTGGTTAGGGCATAGAGCTTGGAATCCTGAGGTTCTGAGTTTGAGCCCCACTCCCACAGACTTCATCTGGGTCCCTAAGCAAGACCCTTAAGCCCACACTGCTACCCAGGCGCCGCACAATGGCAGCCCACTGCTCCCCAAGTGGATGGGTTAAAAGCAGGGGGTTATTTTCTCCAATGTGAGATCAATAAAGTTCAATTATTATTATTGTTATTCGCTACAGAACCCACTCTCTAATTATTGATCCCATTCTGTTGAAAGAGCAAACAAAGAAAAAATATATATTTTATTGTGAAATTTAAAGACGATTTAATCAGTGGACTCTGAAAATGAAACTGATACCAGTTGATTTAAAGCCGTTGTTCAAAACACGGACCAGAAACAGTGAACAGGGCTGAAAGTAGCAATTATAAAGCAAATTATTTATTTTTTTATGACATAAAAATGTTCCTTAAAGATTAAACCAAGTGAAACTAAAACTTTTCCACAAACTTTTTTTTTTTTATCTTAAATGCAAAATATATATATATATATTTTTTTTTTTTTTTACCATTTTGATATAATTACTGCTCTAAGTGGGTCACTGTCAGCTAAAGGCATGTTTTAGAGTCTCTATAGTCTAGTTAACGATTTATCAGTAATAAATTAGTTAATGATTTTTTTTAATAATCGATTAATCCAATTATTCTGATCGTTTCAGCCCTAAATGTGTCTAAACTGTCAGCTCAGCAGGTAAGGAAGCCACCAGATAAAACAGGTTTGCATCTGCAGTGGGTCCTTTCCTTTCTTTTTATTTAATTGATTTTTCAGAGTCTGGCAGCATAATGTTAGGACGTAAGTATATAAAAACTAACTTTTTCTCCATACTAGCATCATGTGATGAATTCACTTGTTTTTTTTACTCCATCTGTGGCAGGGAAGCATACAGTAAAGGGTCACAGTAAAAACTATGTCAAAAAACTGTTAAATTTCTAGTAACTTTAAAAATATTAAAGCAAAAATGTCCCACTGGCTGCCATTGACAGACAGAAGGGAATATGACAGGTGACTTTATGAACATGATTACAGATCATGGCATTGTCATAATAATGATAAGACAAAATGCTGAATGACAATTACCCTATTTAAAATACTGCAATCCTAATTTATGCATTTGAACAACATCCAAGGTGTTGGAGTGTTTTACAGTCCATATTCTTCCAGATCCAGGTAGATCACAACTTAATCTATAAGGACTATAGATTCACATGCTTTAAGATGCTACCTACTAGTGATGCGTTTTTTTTTTAACCCAAAACTTCTGATTCCGAAATATTTCACTTTCTTTACATGTTAGATCTGACGCCAGAAATGAGAACATTTATTCAAACCCGTTTGTTTATGTCTGCAGAGTTTTGATCAGGCAACCATGTGGCCAGCTAATCTCTGCACAGCTGTGTTGTGGACCCTGATTGTTTATCCGTTTATCATCAGCCTTTTGTCCTAAAGGCTACATTAACGGTAGTGGAAAAGCTATGATTCCCACGAACTTCAGATTATTTGTAGTTTTTCCCGTGTCAGTTCCACCGGGGCTCCATAGTATTTACTGACTGTTAATAAATAAAAATCTCTCCAGTTCACATGTTGAGTGAACATAAATTAAAAGAGCAGACTCCTCCATAATAGCTGCCAGTTCTCTTTTGTTTTTATAATCACAAAGAGTCTGAATCTCCTCTAAGACAAAACAAATAAACTCTAAACTCTCCTTACCATCGTTTCAAGCCTTTCAACGGTCGGCTCCATGTTGAATATTGTGCGCCGTTGAAAGAGCTACTGTGATTGGCCAGTAACCTTGACCAAACACTTCCGGTATCTGCAATAACCCGCGTCATCGCATCGATCCCTTTCGCCTATAGGCGCGGACTTGATTTGGTGGCGCCATCTTGGGGCGGTCGACAGCCCCGCTCCTTGTAATGTGTTGAACAGGGACAAAATCCATTTTAATCAACTTTAAATCGCTGAATATTGAACTAATTTCACGGTTATGTTTTTTTTTCCGAAAACAAACTAATTGCTCAGTGTCTTTAAATGTTCTTTGTGGGGTTAAGAGTAATATAATATTCTGATAGGCTATATATATATATATATATATATATATACAAACACTAGATAAAACAGATACACCCATCTTATTTCAATTTATAGGATTTTTAAAATTCAATATTTAGCTTATTTTCTTCTTTATTTTTCAGGTCCTGAAAGGTTTGTGGTTTTGTTGATTAAAATATGAAAATTTTTCAGTTTGTGTTAGTGTTAAGATCAGGGTCTCTTTTGCAAGGGTTTTCTGAACTAATTTGTTTCACATAATGGATCGTCATGGAAGTTTCACACAACAGATAAAACCTGACAGCATTCCAATCAGGGGCTGATTTAGGAAATGTGGGGCCCTAGGCAAAAATAGGCAGGGGGCCCTCTGAGCACTGAGCTCACTCAGCTGATTGCTCCTTCCTGTGTTTCCAAAAAGGCAAAGAAGTTGCTGCCGGTGTAGGTAACAGATCTGCTCTGGTTCTGCTTCATGCCAGTGACATTACTCTACATGATTGGCTGAACGTTGCCACATGATTTAAAAACATATTGGTTGCCCAGACAACGTCCGTGTGCAGAATTGGCAGCATTGTAGCGTTAGCGTGTCTAATGACTGAAGAAATTTTACCTGATTGATAACAAACCTGAAAAAAACCTGTTTGTGGTGAACAAAGTAACTGTTAGACCATGATATAAAGGGTGGAGAACTGGGTAGCTGTGGCTAGCTGTGCTAGGTAGCTAACAGGTTAGCCTCTTTTAGCTCTGTCAGTTAGCCATATTAAGCTACACTACTTCGGAATTTGTGTCAACAACAAGCGTTAGTTTTCTACAAGTAGAATAACTGTTTTATTTGTCTAAGATCTCTATGAAGGTCCTTTTTTAAGACGTTCCATTTGTCCTCCTCTGCCCTCAGATCTTTATAAAAATAATTTAAACAAGCAGAGACTTTCTTTGTCACCTGGTTAAATGGCAGAGCTCAGTCAGTCTAAAGGCCCATTCATACCTCACGTAAAAGACGGATACGGATACGTGTGGAGTGTTTCATATGTTCTAACCGTTGATTTCGTCCGTACTTTGACACGAAAATTGGGAGCTTACGCTTACGGACGAAACGGATCAATACGGAGCAATACTACCGGAAACGGTGGGGGCGCTAT